TACATTCATTATGATGAGTCTGATGTTGCTCTTTGCATGAGAATGTATCAAAATTAATGTTTATTATTACAATTTAATTAATTATAAATACAAAAGTAGAAAAACTAGATCTAGATTCTTGCAGAAGTGACACAAAGACAAACTTCATTGCCAAATTTGTATACATTTCATTCATGAATTATAGAAATAATACTAAGAAAATAATATTATGATTATAATTATGATGACACAAAAAAGTTTTGGGAAAAGGAAGTATATCGCTTAGTTCTTCTTAATTACTTGTTTTCTTTCCCTATATACTGAATGAGAATGAGTTAAAGAAAAAGAAGATGGACTTACTAGATGCATTTATAAATTTATAAACTAGCTAATAACAAGTAATAAACACTACAATGGCATTTATCAAACAATAGCATACACCAATATTAAATATATAAAAACTATAGTCTAGATCTAGCTATAGCTACTTATGATAAATATAAGCTAACATCATGCGTGCATTTCCTTTTTAATAAAAAGCAGAATGCAAAAGTCTGCAATATTACCATATTCATAGTGCAACCCACAATAACCACATACCAGCTGTTTAGCTTTCATGTGATATTCAAAGAGTGCAACCCATGATGATATGATCATGTAACAACAGTATAAATACCAACAGTAACTCCTTGCTAGTTATCACAACTCAATCAACATTAACTAATTTTTGGAAGGGATTTCAGTGTCCCTGCAATGTAAACATAATTTAAAAATCATGTGCACTTAGAAACTGAAACTATAGTCAAGCATAGGCTTCATTTTAACAACATAACTATTTTGATTTATTATGACTTGAGACCTTATTAGATCATGCAAAAGCAACTGCGGGGTGAGTCCAAGCACCGTAGGCGTCTCGTTTTTATCTTTTCTGAATCTTCAATCTCCTAGTCTCTATCTCCAGGATCAATATGAGGCATCAATTCTTCATCAAGGTGCTTAAGCGTGTCAAAAGTATCATGTAAGCCCTTCTTAAGTTGCTGTAGTCAAAAAGAATCTGGACCAGGAAGTGCTGTTAGACTACCTGTCACTTCTGTTGTCGTCCTTGTAGCTACAGCTCTGTGTCCAGCTCTTTGTCTC